AATATTTTAAAAAAATACAGGACACGGTAAAAGGTGCGCGTGGGTTAAGACAGTGACAAAGTTTGACTTGGTGACATTTTCGTATGAAAAAACGCAAGTCCTTCCATTTAAAACATGGCACGTGGTGTGAACACAGTAAACGGAATGGTAAGTGCCGTTGTCGGTTTCCGTCGAACGCAGTTAAAGTCCGCGTTTTGCCCGTACGATTTGTTTTTCAAAAAAATATTATTATTTATTATTAATAAAAGAAAAGGGCAAAGCTCAAAAAGAGAGAAAGAAAAGGTGTGTCTGCTTTCCACCAAAAAAAAAAAAAGGTGTGTCTGCTTAGGTTTAGAAATCAAGCAACGGTGGTGCGAGGAAGAAGAAGAAGAAGAAGAAGGAAAGAGAGAGATTTTTCTTTCTCTGAAATTTCAAAGAAAACCTGAAAAATTTGGTTGTGTTGGTGGTATTTACTCTCTATTCCATTTTTTGTCTTTAATTTTTTTCAATGTAATCCAATTCTCAGAGAAAGCTTTCATGGTGTGGTGGGTTCTCTTTGTTTAACTTTTTACTATTTTTTTGGTGGGTTTGATTTTGTTGTTTTGTCTTTGATTGTGAAGTAGTCTTTTTTTGTTAAAGAAATCATCAATGGCTTTCTTTTAAGAGTTTCTTTTTCCAACCATATTTAATATTGCATTTATTTTTCTGTCTTCTGTTTCTTTTCCGGTATTAATCACAGATTCTCTTCGCGTTTCATGTTCTATGTCAATTTATTGTGTTGTGGAATTTACTTAAATTTTTATTTATCTTAATTTGTTTCTTCTTTATTGTCATGTTCTAAGTTCTAACCCTTTTCTGATAAACGGAGAGTAGTGTTTCAAGTGAGACTTGCAACGTCCAAAAAACCCTAAACCAGTTGAAAACTTCTAGAATCTTACACATCTCCCTTTGGTTTTTGGATCAAAAGCTCCGGAATTGAGGAAACAGAATGTATGGAGATTGCCAAATTATGTCATCGTCAATGGGAGGAGATAACATGGTGTCTTCTTCGGAAAGCATTTTTACCTCAACGATCCAAAACCCTAACTTCAACTTCTTACCGTTCAATCATCCTTTTCCTCCCATGCTTGTAAGTTCAATTCATGTTATTATTACTGCATTTTTTTTCTTTCTTACTTTTTAGTTTGTTGTTAAATTTGATTATTCTTTTCCTGGATTGTTGTAGAAAGATGAAAATGGGCTAATGCTGGGATCAGGAAAGGAAGAGATGGAGATGAGCGGGTCTGGAAGTGAACAATTAGTGGAGGAGAAGTCAGGGAATGAGCAAGAAACAACTGAACAATCCGGTGGCGGCGGCCCCAAGAAGAAACGCTACCACCGCCACACTTCTAGACAGATCCAAGCAATGGAAGCGTATGTCTAATTAATTTCTCACTTTCTGATGATATATTAATTCCCAACATCAAAAAGAAAATTTTTATAAAGAAAAGAAAAAACGCAATGTTTTGTTTTGTTTTGTTTTTTTTCCCTTTTCCAGACTGTTTAAGCAATGTCCACACCCTGATGACAAACAAAGAACTCAACTGAGTCAAGATCTCGGCCTCAAGCCACGCCAAGTCAAGTTCTGGTTCCAAAACCGGCGAACCCAGATGAAGGTAAACCCTAAAGAAGTGAATTAAGTACTTAATTCTATTTTGAGCATGTGCTCGATTCCCAAGGAAAATCATGGCGAATTAGGTTGGTACATTTATTTTCTGGGGCCACAGCTACTGCTTGACCATTCATGTACACAAACACAGGCTGTACGCATTAATGTTGGCTGTGTAACGTGCATTTGGGCATTTTGTTTTGCGTTTGTTAGGCTCATCAAGATCGGTCGGATAATGTTTTGCTTAGAGGAGAGAACGAGACTCTTAAGAATGAGAACTACCGACTGCAGGAAGAGTTACGCCATCTCTTTTGTCCTAACTGTGGTGGTCAAGCTATTCTTGGGGGTATTTCCTTCGAAGATCTTCGGCTTGAGAATGCTCGCCTTCGAGAGGAGGTAAACCATGCTTCTTTTTTTTGGACAGGTCAGCTGTTTCCGGACCTCGAAAACTAATCCTTCTCAGATTATTTTAATTATATACCAACTAGAATTGCTGTATATACAGTGATTCTTATAATTATTGTATCTGTTTTTCAACACATTTTGTTTGATTTCAAGGGAAAATTGAAATAAAATATTGATCTTTTCCTTTTTACAGTTGGAAAGAGTTTGCAATATTGTGTCAAGATATACTGGCCGGCCAATGCAAATGTCACCGGCTCCGGCTGCTTCTCCGATGATGCCACCATCGTTGGATTTGGATATGAGTATATATCCACGGCATTACACGGAGGCGGAGCCAACTGCTGCTTCCTCTGGAGAAATTTTTCCTCTTCCTATGTTTCCTTCAGGATCATCCCCCTTCATTGAGAGTCACGGTTTGTTGTTAATGGAAGAGGAGAAGACTCTTGCGATGGAGCTGGCAGTCTCATCCTTGGATGAACTCGTGAAGATGTGCCAGACAACCAAGCCTCTTTGGACTCGAAACAACGAAACCGGAAAGGAGACACTTAATCTTGAGGAATATGCTAAGATGTTTCCCTGGCCTCTGAATTTCAAACAGAACTCCACTGAATTCCGGAGAGAAGCGAGTCGAGACAGTGCTGTGGTTATAATGAACAGCATCACTTTGGTTGATGCATTTCTGGACGCTGTAAGCTCCTCTCCTCCTTTACAATTGAATTCTAGCATCTTACAATCCTCTTTAATTGTAGTATTTTACTAATTAAATTTTTTTTGCTTCTATACCCTTGTCCAGAATAAGTGGATGGAGCTGTTTCCTTCCATTGTTGCTAGAGCAAAGACGGTTCAAGTTATATCATCTGGGGTTACTGGAGCGAGTGGTTCTCTTCTCTTGGTAATTAACATTGTTTAATTAACTTCCAAATTAATTAGGCCTACGTTCTTTGTGTTTAAATTGAAAACCTCAATTGAGAGTATGCCGATCAAAAAAAAAAACTTCAATTGAGAGTATATATTATTTTGAGCAGATGTATGCAGAACTTCAAGTTCTTTCTCCTCTGGTGCCCACTAGAGAGGCATATTTTCTTCGATATTGTCAACGGAATATTGAAGAGGGAACTTGGGCAATAGTTGATTTCCCTATTGATGGTCTCCATGAGGACATCCAGTCTTCCTTTCCCCTTTATAGGAGACGACCCTCTGGCTGTGTGATTCAAGATATGCCTAACGGGTACTCAAGGGTACGTATGTATTAATTTGTGCCCTTCTAATGTGCGTTTAGGTGACTTTTTCTTTGATTTTAAGAGGCATATGAACACAGGTTACATGGGTGGAACATGCCGAGGTAGAGGAGAAACCTGTTCATCAGATATTCAGCCACTATGTGTATAATGGAATGGCATTTGAAGCAAATCGGTGGTTAGCAGTTTTACAGCGCCAATGTGAGAGGGTTGCTAGCCTCATGGCTCGAAATATTCCAGAGTCAGGAGGTTTAATTCACTAATTCTATCCTTCTATTATCTGCCTTCGGTTAATCTTGGCGTCTGTTGTAATTACATTTTCTATTTTATGTCCTTCTAGTGATACGCTCACCAGAAGCAAGGAAAAACTTGATGATGCTTGCTCAAAGAATGATCAGAACATTCTGTGTTAACATTAGCCCTTCAAGTGGCCAGCTGTGGACAGTTTTGCCTGATTCCCTTGATGACACTGTTAGAATCACAACCAGAAAAATGGCTGAACCTGGCCAACCCAATGGACTGATACTTTGCGCTGTATCCACCATTTGGCTACCGTATCCTCACTACCAAGTCTTTGATCTCTTAAGAGATGAACGTCGCTGGTCTCAGGTTCTAATTTTAACTTTAACTTGAAATCAATCAATCCTCTTAATCATATTTTAGAGCTGAATGTTGATGTATTTCGTGCAGCTGGAAGTTCTTTCAAATGGAAATGACTTGCAGGAGGTGGCTCATATTGCTAATGGTTCTCATCCTGGAAACTGCATTTCCCTTCTTCGAATCAATGTAAGCAAAATTCTCTTCATCCTATAAAATGATGTTTATTTTGTAACGAATGCGAATAAATGTGAAAGTCTTAGGTTCTAACTGCTATGGTAAAAAACAGAACACAAATATATGTATTAACTTTTTTTTTCCTTAACTAATTTGGTGCAGGTTGCAAGCAACTCATCCCATCATGTAGAGCTGATGTTGCAAGAGAGTTGCACTGATCAATCTGGCGGTCTGGTTGTCTACTCCACAGTTGATATTGAGTCAATTAAGCTGGTGATGAGCGGTGAGGATCCATCCTGCATCCCTCTGCTGCCCATAGGGTTTGTCATCACCCCAGTAGAACCCATCAATGAAATAGCAAGTACTAGTGAGGCCAACTCAATCCCACCGCCAGATGAAGAAGTAAACAGGCGAACTGCATCTGGCACTCTACTCACGGTGGGGCTTCAAGTCCTTGCTAGCACTGTTGCATCAGCAAGAATCAATCTATCAAGCATTGCAGCCATCAACAACCATTTATGCACAACAATTCAACAGATTAGGGATGCTCTGGGTGACCACGGCAACACTGTAGGCTCGGATCAGCCTGCTGTTGCGGCAACCAAAGAATAGACTTCTCCACAAACCTCTCTTCTCTTTTCTTAACCTCGGAAGCAATGGCATAGTTTGGTACTTTTTAAGGTAAGGTTTTAGTGTAAATGGTGATGGAGGAGTTTAGAGTTTCTGATATAGGTTGTCGTGCCTATGTAATGCATGGTGATGGAGGAGGTTTTTATATGTAACGGTGGGAGTCAAGAGCGCACCAGATATGACCCTTGCTTTGTGGTAAGGTCCATTGAAGGTATGGGGACCTTACCAATCAGCCAGGGTGGTGGTTCGGGTATTGACTTCTCCTTTCTGTCTGATCTTTAGAGGTTAATATCTTTTCTTTTTTTTTTTTGGATACATTAGAGGTTAATTTCTATCTTTTGAATTTAATGTCATTGCATTCCTCTCCTCATTGTGTGTCACATGAGTTATATAATATGGAAAAGTACTGTTGCAAATATAGATTTCGGAGGCTCCAACTTAATTATAAATACTATTTTGGCAATTGATAAATGTTAACGGAATGCATCTTTTGTAATTCAAATTACTAAACATGAATCATCGATTTTAAAAAAATAACTTTCAATATTAAGAAACTCGCCTTCATTTAATATAAATTTAAATTGTATTATTAAAAAATGTATTAACATTTTCTGATATCATAACATGTAAATTTTTGTCCTAAATACATGCTCCTAGTTATGGATTTAAAACCAAAAGAACCCTATTTAAAAAGGGTATAGCTAGCTACTGTAAATCATTTGGAGAGAAAAGGAGTTGCTTTTCCCACCGACGCTCTAGTTCGTTGAAATAATAGACACCATCATTCCTTATACTCCAAGAACAATTGAAACATTTCAAAGTAACCTTAAAAACCCAGAAAGCACCTCGCAAATCATTGTTAATGTCTACATAGCACCATCGCATTGGAAATAATATTTCTCGTACCGTCCATGACATTGTCTGTCCAGCCTCCAGCCTTTGCACTGTTTTGTCTGAGCCTTCAAACGCACACGTAAAGTATACCGGCCCGTGGCTCACATCATTTTTTAGGGATACCGTCCACTGGGGGAAGATATTATTTATTATACTATTGATTATAGAAGGTTTAGGAGAGGCAGATGGGAGAAAAGAGAAGAAAAGTAGAATGCTGGGAATTACGAGAGCTTGAATAATGCCATTCTTCTTGGTGATCATGGCTGCGGATGTGGGAATCTGCTTGGAAATTTTTATATGAATGATGGGATGAATTAATAATGGAAGAGATCTTGTTGAGTTTAAACAATATTATGACGGTGAAGTTTAGGGAAGGAACAAAATTAGATGGACCCTTTCTTACCTTTGAATCTCTTTTTTCATTGCTAACCAGACAATTACCGCTTTCTAAATTTTGTTGCCTAAATTTAGTCGTTCTTTTATATATAAAACTTTTCTTTAAAAATTAGAAGTGGAGATGAAGATTCGTATACTCATGAAAGGACAAATCAATCGGAACTAATATTCTTGCACCTGAACCTCACAATTCAACAGTTATAAATTAACTCGTAAGGTGTATGCCCTTCGAATGCCCTCATTTTCAATTTTGTATCCTTGTTCAAAAAAAAAAATTCTGAACTAATATTCTCATAAAAATAAATTCTAGATTAATACTTATCTTTTCTATTGCATTTATAAAATTAATTATTATATAGATATTGAGATTGAGTACTCCCTGTACTCAATTAGTAATAAAATTTCTTTCTCAGTCGAAGAAAACTAAAAAGAAGTTATGAAAGGATTGGTCCGGATCTTTTCCTTTATTTATAATATAACGAAAGATAATATATAAGGGGCCCAATAATCATAAGCTACTAACGAAGGTGGCCTGATCCAAAATATGAGAGAATAGGCCATATCATAAGAAGCCCAGAGCAAAAGCAACCAAGCTTTCGTAAATAGAAAAATGAAGCTTCCCATCCCACCCTTTATCAGGAGAAAAAATAAGGGACAAAAAAAAAGTAACATTCTTCTCTCGTATCAAATTCCTTTCCCACCCTTTATTAGAAAAACCCAAAAAAAGTAAAATTCTGTTCTCATTTCCCATTCCTATAAAAATCTTCAATCCAAAATTCCAAAACACAACGGAACTTGTAAAAAGGGAAAAAAAAAAATAATAGTAGATGAATAGGAATTGGGTCATAACCTTTACACAGCAGTAATTTTCACGCAGATTGAACTAACGACTGATACTTTTGAGTATAGGACCCAGCATGTAGAAAAAATAAAAATGGAACCAGCTGAGGTTTGACAAAAGGCACAAAACATGCCTTATAGGACAAAGATTCCTTTGGAAGAATCATCAAAAATCATATATATGCCAAAATGAGGTAGTTGTTCTACCTTGGACATATTCACCAAAAATATTAGATTGAAGTCTTGGTCTTTAATTTGAATAAAAACTTCACTTTCCCTTCCAATTGGTCGAACTTTAATAATTAAGGAACAAACAGCTATCCAAATTCTTGACTAGCTCCAATGGATTTATAGGTTATGGATAAATGACAATCATTAATAGTTATTATTATTATTTTTTAATGTAACGAGCAAGGAGATGCAAGTTTTTTAGTCTAAACTGTAAAACTTATCTTATATAGGTAAATTTCATTTTATGTGAGAGTAAACAATGAATTGACTTATGATTTAATTGGAGTAAGGCCCAACTAATTTCTAAATGGAATCAAGTTGAAAGAATCATTTCCATGTGTCTATGGAAACTATATGCAGACATTATCCCAAATCAATGATTAAACTAGCCATGTTGTCTCCTAACATGCTGCATTTATTTTGGAACTCTTCCTTGCAAAACAGAGCTGGCAAAATTAGGCCTGGCCTTCTTGATTTAAGACCAACCAAATCAAATCAATGGATCATGGGGAAATTGGAATCAAAACTACCAGCGCCTAATAATTGATTATTTTTAAACATTATGCATGATTGATTCTTCATTCATCAGCCACTAATTCTAACATTTAATCTAAAAGGTTCTTTGGTAATTCATAATTTTAAAAATAATGAATCTATAATTCTAACATTCACTACAAGAAAAATGATTTTTAGTGATAGAAATTTATGATAAATTTTAAAATTATCACTATAATTTATTACAATTGTAATAGATTTAAAAAATTAGTCATAGATATATACATATTTAATGATAAACAAAAAAATTCATCATAAAAAATATATTTTGTCACCGAAAAATGTACATAGAAATAAAATAAGTTTTTGTCGATAAAAAATCATCACTATAATGCATTACAATTATAACAAAATTCTAATATTGGTCACATATACCTTACACATTCAATGATGATCAAATAATTTATCATTAAAAAATATATTTCGTCACTAAAAACTGTCAATTTTCTTTAATCAATGCATCCCACATCGATAAAAAACACATAAGAGAATAAAGTTTTGTACTATAAATATATCCCACATCGATAAAAAATATTTAAGAAAATAAATTTTTGCACTATAAAACATGTAAAACTCAATAAAACTTGAGATTAGTTTGGGCCTAATTAATTTTAATCGGGCTTGATTAATTTTAATCAAATTTGATTAATTTTAAT